AATTTCCGTGAATTCTACTTAAAACTTGAAATTTCATAACCAATTTTCCCTAAATCTGAGTCACTCTCATGAGATTTACTATAATATCTTCCATAAAATTTCATAAAATTTCTAACAGTGTTGCTCCACGATTACTTGACTTGTTTGGTAATTTTCTCCAACTTTTTTCCCCGTGCACGAAACTCGAATAAATTCTTATTTATCACTATCGTTCCACGTTATATTACGAACATATGTGGGCGTCCACATGAAAAGGGCCCACTTTGACGGTATTGGAGTTATGTATGTTCCGATAATCTTGATCAGATTTCTCACATTTTGAGCTAAAAATCAACCCGATAGAATGAAAACTGACGCCAGTATAGACGATCAAAAAAACAATTTAACATTGGTTTAAATGGGAGATGTGGAGAGAAACACATGAATATCTCGGAAACTAGATGCGACAAAGTGGGCCCTTTTCACGTGGACGTACACATATTATCTATCGAACCAGTGGAAGTGCATAAAAATAATCTTAAAAGTGCCCAACTCAGCATTATCCAAAAATTTGTCCCGGTCACCCCCATCAATTCATTTACCCGATTGCGTCCAGTCCAATTTTCTTGTTGATTTCAATTAATATTGTTAAAATGAATAACAACTCAGTTTTACCTGAAAACGTATATGACCCCTTACATTCTCACATTACGAGTATTCCTAATACAGAAAAACATTTCTCCTCGTCTTCATTCACCCTCTCACCCGACACTTTCATTCGGAATAAAGGAAGAATAACCTGCGCATGATCCCAAAACCGTCTTACAATCAATTTCATTTAATCTCGTTATTTTTCGGACGCACCCTAATCCGGTCCCTTTTCCCTTTCCATTCATCCGTGAAGATGCATCTCGTTGTCTGAGTCACAGTCTAGGACCACAGGGTGCCTTCTGCATTATTCACCACCATTCACCTCATCCTCGAGATAAGAACCATCATAAATAATAATTCAAATTGATATCAATGAAAAAAAAAAATGAAAAACCACCATTCATTGAATGTAATTTACGACTCGCCATCGGGTCAATTGAATCGTGAAAATATCAACGCTATTGCATCATCGACAGTTATATTAATTACAAATTCTACATAGTGTTATTAAGAGGCAAGTTAACTGGCGTATTAAACGCTGCATTTGTTGGGGACCTCGTCATTGTCCTTCGTTTTAAAAAATCACCTTCTTGAATAATTTACGATAATCACTGGCTGCACACTATCGCCAATCGATTTGTCCGTATCTGTTCATGTTTTAACGTCTAATCTCTGCTGGTGTGATGTTATTTACTTGTCATTTGTTCTCGTTTAAAAAACTATGGGTTTACGTAAGCAACTCGTTGTTACTCATTAAACAGATTTTATTGGATGAATTAATTGTTTACTGAAGTATTTCAAAATACACATTACTCATTCTCGCGCGTGCACTATCGGCAACTATGTTGTTGATACCATTTATCAATACGAGAAGGTTGACGATTTCTTGTTAAACAATACAAATATAATGAGGTCAGAGATTCGATACCAATGGTCGCTTTTTTATTTCATTGCAGTTCCAGTTCACTGGTGACTTATGTCGCATAATTACATTTTATTCGCCTCGATTTGACTTATCAATTGCGTTCGAAAAAATGAGTAATGTCACACCCTCACTCAATGTGGGGAAGTGTTTGTTTTAACGTTGTTTATGGTATCTTTTTAATGATTCGTAATGGGCAACATTGTTTGCAATTTTTGCATCGAGAGTGACGGGATTACGTACTATCGTTTCCCATGATAGAACTCATGCGATTGAACCTGAATTGCGTGAATGGTGATGTGTTGCATAATGAGTTGGCTATGTGTGTGGCAAAATACTGGCCTAACACCCCGGTTCACGCCCATTCCCATTTGCTGTTGCGAAAATTTTCGATCGGAGATTTCGTTTTTGATTTTTTTCGTACACCCAGAGAATGGTTTATTTCAAGCGAGTCAACTTTACTTCACTCGAGTAAATGCGTTTATTCAAATGCTGTGATAATTCTTTTATTCAAAATGACACTTGATTTTTATTGGCTTTTTTATTCACACCAAATGAGTAGTTTTTTTCAATATTAACAAGTATCTTCTTGATTCAATTATTTTTCGGATGGAGAAGAGATCATAGTTATCACCCGAGTCGAATAATTGGACCTGACAAGTTTTTATTTCGACATTTGTGGCGCCTCCGAGGGTGGCATTGGCATTATAGGGGTCAATAAATACGGAATCAACATTCACTTGGCGAAAAAATTCGATTTTGGCGAAAGTCGATTTTCCCCCCGAAAAAACCCAAGATCTGACACTTTGGCTCCGGGTGAAAATAGTGCATTTTCCACCAAGGGCGGGAAAATAAAGGAGTCGTGCCCACGTACAGAATTACCACCCGAGCCGAAGGCGTGGGTGGTAAGCACGTGGGTAAGGGTCCTTTATTTTACCTCACGTGGTGAGAACGTTATTTTTCGTCACGGCGTAGGCGGAAAGGCAGATTTTCCTCCCGCGAAGCGGGAGGAAAATGTGTCCCTTCCGCCCGCTGTGGCGAAAAAACATTTTTTATTTCGACATTTCTGGCGCCTCCGAGAGTTTGATTAGCATTAGAGGGACCAATGAATACGGAATCAATATTCGCTTGACGAAAAAATTCGATTTTGGGGAAAGTCGACTTTCCCCCGGGAAAAACTGATTCGACAGATATTATGATAAAGAATATTTTAATACCTAAAAAAGTTCATTTGATGCAGTGGTTTTCGAGATATTGAGAAACGAAAAAATTTCCGCAATCGCTGTAATTGCGCCCAGGTAATACCAATTTGCTCCCAAACAATACCAATTATGAGTCCAAATTTCAGATTTTTATCTATCACTTTATGATGTTTTTTTCAATATTAACAAATATCTTCTTGATTCAATTATTTTTCGGATGGAGAAGAGATCATAGTTACCACCCGAGTCGAATAATTGGACCTGACAAGTTTTTATTTCGACATTTGTGGCGCCTCCGAGGGTGGCATTGGCATTATAGGGGTCAATAAATACGGAATCAACATTCACTTGGCGAAAAAATTCGATTTTGGCGAAAGTCGATTTTCCCCCCGAAAAAACCCAAGATCTGACACTTTGGCTCCGGGTGAAAATAGTGCATTTTCCACCAAGGGCGGGAAAATAAAGGAGTCGTGCCCACGTACAGAATTACCACCCGAGCCGAAGGCGTGGGTGGTAAGCACGTGGGTAAGGGTCCTTTATTTTACCTCACGTGGTGAGAACGTTATTTTTCGTCACGGCGTAGGCGGAAAGGCAGATTTTCCTCCCGCGAAGCGGGAGGAAAATGTGTCCCTTCCGCCCGCTGTGGCGAAAAAACATTTTTTATTTCGACATTTCTGGCGCCTCCGAGAGTTTGATTAGCATTAGAGGGACCAATGAATACGGAATCAATATTCGCTTGACGAAAAAATTCGATTTTGGGGAAAGTCGACTTTCCCCCGGGAAAAACTGATTCGACAGATATTATGATAAAGAATATTTTAATACCTAAAAAAGTTCATTTGATGCAGTGGTTTTCGAGATATTGAGAAACGAAAAAATTTCCGCAATCGCTGTAATTGCGCCCAGGTAATACCAATTTGCTCCCAAACAATACCAATTATGAGTCCAAATTTCAGATTTTTATCTATCACTTTATGATGTTTTTTTCAATATTAACAAATATCTTCTTGATTCAATTATTTTTCGGATGGAGAAGAGATCATAGTTACCACCCGAGTCGAATAATTGGACCTGACAAGTTTTTATTTCGACATTTGTGGCGCCTCCGAGGGTGGCATTGGCATTATAGGGGTCAATAAATACGGAATCAACATTCACTTGGCGAAAAAATTCGATTTTGGCGAAAGTCGATTTTCCCCCCGAAAAAACCCAAGATCTGACACTTTGGCTCCGGGTGAAAATAGTGCATTTTCCACCAAGGGCGGGAAAATAAAGGAGTCGTGCCCACGTACAGAATTACCACCCGAGCCGAAGGCGTGGGTGGTAAGCACGTGGGTAAGGGTCCTTTATTTTACCTCCCGTGGTGAGAACGTTATTTTTCGTCACGACGTAGACGGAAAGGCAGATTTTCCTCCCGCGAAGCGGGAGGAAAATGTGTCCCTTATCCCCGCCGTGGCGAAAAAACATTTTTTATTTCGACATTTCTGGCGCCTCCGAGAGTTTGATTAGCATTAGAGGGGCCAATGAATACGGAATCAATATTCGCTTGACGAAAAAATTCGATTTTGGGGCAAGTCGACTTTCCCCCGGGAAAAACTGATTCGACAGATATTATGATAAAGAATATTTTAATACCTAAAAAAGTTCATTTGATGCAGTGGTTTTCGAGATATTGAGAAACGGAAAATTTTCCTGAATCGCTGTAATTTCGCCCAAGTAATACCAATTTGCTCTCAAACAATACCAATTATGAGTCCAAATTTCAGATTTTTATCTATCACTTTAGTCCTTTTTCTGTGAAAATTTATAAAAAAATTCACAGAATTTTGTACGCACATACGGACGCACACATAGACATTCTCTAAAAACATCATATCTCGACGTTTCATAACATTCTAAGTCATTTTCAATCAAAATTAGCTTCCATCAATCAAAACAGAGTTTCCATTCGGAAGCAAAAATTCATTCTTTTCCTCCGATTTCTTTCTTAATTTCAAATAAAGAATATCTGCAACCCAATTATGCACTCCGATCACCTAAATTGTGGATTAATTTATGTATGATTTTTTTTTGTCCAAGGTTTAATACTTTTCAAAAAAGACCCATGACATTTTAATAAATCTACTCCTACCGATTAAAATTTGAATTAAACTCCATAATCCGATGAATGGCGCCACGAATAAAAGAGGGCGTTTGGATATTTATTTCGACTGGCACAAAAGCCTCACCTCGACGAGGAATTCTCACCTCAATGTACCTCAGTATCACCAGCAAGCCTGGACAGCGTCAGACGCTTGTAATCTCTCACCTTCCGAATTTTCCGCATCACTTTCGACACTTGTATTCTATTTCTTCTCATAAATTACCGACAATTTTTCATCTAATAACAATCTTCGGATTGTAATAGCGATTGTCACAATCGTTTACTGCGAATTTTATCGCGAGCCTGGACAGGAGAGAGGCAAGGGGACCGATCGTAATTATCGAGTTGAAAAAAGTGAGTATTATTTATTAAATAAACGCGATTGAGCGAGCAACAAAACAAATGCACTTGCAGTTTGCTCCTGTCCGAAAACTAGAACCTATTCTATACCTGTAGATCAGAATCAACGAAGCGTCGATTCAACATCAAATGGCGTCGGATAAACACAAGCCATCGCCGACCGTTAAATTCAAAACTTTTGGTTTCCTGCGTTCATTTCCTTACTTACATTCTAGTCTAATAACAGCGACTCATCTTCAATTTTTTTATATTTTCTCACGTCCCAGGTGGATAATGGCGCCTATTAAGACTAAGAAGAAGGTAGGAAAAAAGGCTCCCGCAAGAGGGAAGAAGAGGGGCGGATGTGGCTGTAGGGATGTTTCAGAGTCGAGCTCCAGTGAGTCATCCAGCGAGTCATCAAGTTACACATCCTCGTCTGATTACACCAGTTCTTCATCGGAGTCAGAGTCCGATTCCTCTGACGCCTTTGAATGCCCCTGTGCACCAACCAAGAAGAGGGGCGGGAAGAAGGTGCAGGCTGCACGTCAGGCTAAACTCGTTAACAAGAAGAAACCAACAAAACGTCGTGCAAGTGAGTGGAAAAATTATGAATAAATTTATATGAGTGGCAATAAGCAATAATATTGATAACTAGGGGGGCTACGCCGCCTGCTCGCTCCGCTCGCCAACCCCCATACGACCCCCATGACCCTTATTCTGACCCTTGTGGCCCTTATTCTAACTCTCATGAGCCGTATTTTGACCTGTGTGACGCACGGAGAGAAATATTCAGTAAAAATTACGGAACAATTTACGTAATCCGCAATGGGGAATCGTTTTCCGGTAATTTTTATAGGAATGGAAGAGAAGAAATCTGAAACGTTCAGTGAATTTTCAGGCTCATCATCGAACAAAGTACGAAATTGTCACGTAATTTTTCCCGAAGAGGTAAAATCTTACAGAAACTTATCGACTTATTATGCCTCCAAAATCAAAAATTCTTGAACGTTCCACAATTTTTATAAAGCTGGTGAGTTATTTCTACGTTCCGTTCCGTAAAATTTCTTGTCTCCACAGCGGTGAGTCATCAGGCGGGTGGTCAATTTTTACGGAACAAATCGTAGAATTTACGTGGCGATTCGTACAATTTCAGTTCCGACTCGCACTTTTCATTGAATTTTACTTCGCTCGCGGATTACGTTGCGAAACGTATTTTTTCCGTTTTTTTCTGGTAATTTTTACTGAATTTCTTACTCCGTGCGCTTAATCAAATCCTCGTGACCCTCATTCTGGCTCTCGTGATCCTTATTTTGATCCTCGTGACTCTTATTTTGATTCTCATGAGCCTTAATTTTGGAGTCTTAATTTCGATTACCAAATTTTCATCACCCGAAGTCGATTTGGATTTTTATAATAGAGAGAGATACAATAATTAAAATTGATTGATAACATGGCATTCCATAATATCCGACATAAATTTGACGCTGCGCTGAATGAAGTCAGAGAAATAATTTCATTTATTACTCAATCAATTAATGGTTTTTGTTAAAGAGCTCTCAACATCCTACTGCTCCTCTGATTACGACTCGAGCGATGACAGCTTCCAATGCCCCAGGAAACCGGGTCGCAAGTGCAAGGCTTGATCGATGAATCTAATGATGAGAATGAACAGCTCTCTACGTTTTTAATTAGTTCAATTTGACTTGCAACGTTATTATCACTGCAGGTTTTGGTGGGTTTCACAATTCTCGTTAATTGACATTATAATTAATTGAATAATTCGGAAATAGGCAGCCGCAAATCGTCACATAAACGAATAACAGAATAGAAAAGGGTATGAATGATTGGTCTATGTATTTTATATGATTTGAAGAGAGAATATGTTGAGTTACAAGACTTGATCGATGTATTGAATGATCTGGCGACATTAACTACTGATTGTGATTTTATTCAGACTTTATTACCACCGCAGGCTCCGGTGGATTTTATTACTCTAATGAATCAACATTATTATTGATCGAATGATTGTGATCACGTGACCCTTTAATGTCAACATTGCAACGTATTATGAATAAGTATTAATGGTTTATATTGAATGTATCTTATTATGATGTGAAAATAAATGAATTTCCCCTTGATCAAATTTCATTCCGCAATTCGTCAAACTGTGAAAAACCTAATTAATAAATTCAATCATCAAACAGCTGTCTCCAACATTGATTGTTAATAATAATTTCATTAGTGTGCCATGACCACTGCAGGCACTGGCGAATTCTATTACTTTAATGAATCAACTTAATTATTTTTCGAATAATTGACATCACGGGATGCCTTGAATTTCAACATTGCAACATATTATGAATAAGTATTAATGGTTTATATTGAATGTATCTTATTATGATGTGAAAATAAACGAATTTCCCCATGTTCGAAATTTATTCCTCAATTCATCAGACTGTGAAAGACCTAATTGATAAATTCAATCATCACACAACTGTGTCCAACATTAATTGTTAATGATAATTTAATTAACGGGCCATGACCACTGCAGGCACTGGCGAATTCTATTACTTTAATGAATCAACTTAATTATTATTCGAATAATTGACATCACGGGATGTCTTGAATTTCAACATAATAATTAATTTTTCAATAAGGATAAATGATTTGTATTTAATCTCATTGTACTATAAAAATTAAGGAATTCACGTTCATTAAATTTTTATTAAAAAATTCCTCATTCCTCAAAAATTCCTCATCCTATCATTTTAATCAATCACCGTTACTATTGACGGAATAATTTGGATCATGACCCTTCAAATCGTCACATAATCAAATTACGGACCAGAAATTAGTGTGCCATGACCACTGCAGGTACTGGCGAATTCTATTACTTTAATGAATCAACTTAATTATTATGCGAATAATTGACATCACGGGATGTCTTAAATTTCAACATAATAATGAATTTTTCAATAAGGATGAATGATTTGTATTTAATCTCACTGTACTATAAAAATTAAGGAATTCACTTTCATTAAATTTTTATTACAAAATTCCTCATGTCTTCTCAGAACTGATTCGTTGATTGGATGATGATAAACAGTCGTCTACGACTTGAATTCTTAATTGCAATTTTATGTAATTTCCAATCTAATTTTTGGTGGATCCTATCATTTCAATCAATCACCGTTACTATTGACGAAATAATTTGAATCATGACCCCTCAAATCGTCACACAATCAAATTACGGACCAGAAATTAGTGTGCCATGACCACTGCAAGCACTGGCGAATTCTATTACTTTAATGAATCAATTTAATTATTATGCGAATAATTGACATCACGGGATGTCTTAAATTTCAACATAATAATGAATTTTTCAATAAGGATGAATGATTTGTATTTGATCTCACTGTACTATAAAAATTAAGGAATTCACTTTCATTAAATTTTTAGTAAAAAATCCTTCAGGTCTTCTCAGAACTGATTCGTTGATTCGATGATGATAAACAGTCGTCTACGACTTGAATTCGTAATTGCAATTTTATGTAATTTCCAATATAATTTTTGGTGGATCCTATCATTTCAATCAATCACCGTTACTATTGACGGAATAATTTGAATCATAACCCCTCAAATCGTCACACAATCAAATTACGGACTGGAAATTAGTGTGCCATGACCACTGCAAGCACTGGCGAATTCTATTACTTTAATGAATCAACTTAATTATTATTCGAATAATTGACATCACGGGATGTCTTGAATTTCAACATAATAATTAATTGTTCAATAAGGATGAATGATTTGTATTTAATCTCATTGTACTATAAAAATTAAGGAATTCACTTTCATTAAAATTTTATTAAAAAATTCCTCATCGGTAGAGTAAAAATTACTGTACCGGTAGGGTAAAATTTACCAACCGTTCTAGAATTTTCGCTGTTATCTACATAAAAATTATTGGACTGAAAGGGTAAAATTTATTATGCATCAGGATAAAATTACTCTGACGTAGAATAAAATTTGATCATCATATATTAATTTTTACTAAAGTTCGGGATAGAAATGAGGAAACGATGACTCATGATGCACTTTTATAGAGCGGTAGGATAATTTTTATCAAAAATTTCTCTCCGTGTATGTTAACATAGTAATTATTGCTATGTCCATAGAACCTATTACCATTGAGGAGCTTACTATGCCCCATAGTAACCATTACCATGTCCATACTAATACTTACAAAACTTCGGTAGCGTTTACTCTGTGCGTATTCCGAAATAGTAATCTTTACCATTTTATTTTCTCCGTGTGCACGTCGCAGTGTGGTATTTAAAATAATAAATCCTCTTCCATAATTTTAATAAAATATTAATCGCATCGCCCAGAGCATCGAAAAGTCGTTCAAAATTCATGAACGTGTAAATCTGATGCTCTGACGCTTGACGAACCAATCCAGTACCTTTCCCAACAATGTCCCACCCGCCTTGTGACGACAATCCAAAAATATACACACGACCGAAGTTGAAAGCCCGTCTGCATCTCGCCATAAAATCGTTGATGGACAGTTAATGGCACCTCTATCTCGGTTGAGTCAAGTCCCGACTAAAAATGCGACACAGTTCATGGCCAGCGGATTTTTTTTCAGCTACTTGTTACCATTCGTGTTTACAAACGTGACAAGAAACATAATATTTGAATATATAATTCTCCGCAGGAAGTTTATCCTTCCATCATCCTTCGGGGGGGGGGGNGGGGGGGGGGGGGGGGGGGGGGGGGGGGGGGGGGGGGGGGGGGGGGGGGGGAGTGGAGAGATGTAACAAGATGATGCTGCTTATCACAGACATCTGTTACCGCATCTGCGAACCGATGTAACAATAAATTGAAAAATGCAAACAAAATGGAGAATGAGACGTAATCGACAGTCGTTGTCTTCTCGTTGCAACTATTTTTTTTTCATTTTATTAATAGATTTTACGTCGCGAGAACCTTCGTTATGTCACGTTGAGTATATTAAGGATAAGTAGCTTGTGTTTGCAAATACGTTGCTCTGAAAATAAATTACAGAGAATAGAGCTCCAATAGGACATTGAGAATAATTGGCTAGCTCTTACAATCCAAATGGTTGCTCTCCTCATTTCTAAATCCTCCCACATTTGTAATCGTGAGTAAATACTTCGGGTTAATTTTGGACTTGAAAGAAGAATGTTCTTGAGATTTTGAAGGAAAAAATGGGGGAGAAGCGGGAGAGGTGGGATAAGACCCACCAGCTGGACTCACTTCCTGACCTACTCAAAAATCTTCTGAAGTAATTTTATAAATGACTGGTGAGTCGTCTAGAAAATCCCAGTAAATACAAATGGAGAATAAAATGGGAGAGAAAAAGTAACATCAATCGGAGAATTGAATTGATTCACCAGCTGATTGTATTGCCTACCGTCTGATTTACTTAAAAACCTCCTAAGGGGCAGTCGCACCAAGCCAAATAAATCGTCAGAAAAAATAGATTTCTGGAGTAAATTTATTCCACAGTCAGATAATTTTAGGAATTCGTGGTAGAGTGTTTTCATTTAGACATTCGGTCGGGAATATCGACTAAATACTCCGTAATTAGTGGCATTATTGGCAAATTGTGACGGCACATCGACACGCCACACTGTTTGAAAAAAAATGTCATTTCATGGGCAGTTGACTACTAATTTTCAGAACAGTTTAAGCAGCACAAAGACAAGAATTCCTTAATTTATTTGAATTTCCAATCTAATATGAATATTCAGTGCCAAATTACATTCAATTTTCAGTGAAATCTGAGATTTTATAATTTTTTTCCCCCTAAATCGCTTTTAGAATGAAAAATTCTAGTGCTGTTAAAATTTGTAGGGAGTTCTGATAAAAGTTCGTATAAGAACGGGAGAAATTCACGTGCTGCTCAATAAAAACTTCAGTGTGGCACTGGAATTTTTCCGCGGCCGTCATTTTGTGCCCTTTTTCCCGTGCTAGCACTGGGAAATTTGGGTCCGTGTACGCACCTACACCAATAGAAAAAATTACCTATGTGAAGTGTTTCTTTCTCGGAACAAGTATTATATACTTGAACAAAGTTCAAATAAATAAGATCTTACGGTGTGAATATCAATTATTTCGTCTTGAGATACATTTACTTGAATCCAATGAAACAGTCCTTGGCGTCAAGTCACATGTATTCACCACAAAAATGAAAAAGTTCTATTTTTTTTAACCTAATGTAATCTCCAGTCGAGAAATTTTCTACTGTCATGAATTAATCAAAAATTCGTACCGAGGAGCTGATTACATTGAGGAATGAATTGAATATTCTTTTCTCGAATGAAGCCGATGTTTAAATTGAGCCTTCCGTACATCACATTGAACAAACTTTGTGATATCCAAGTTTGCGTTGAATTATCGTAATCTGTGATTCTGTTGTTGTAAACTAATGCGATTTTTTTAGTCAAGAAATATAAACTTCTTCCAACGTAATGACATCTTACTACAATCTTAAAGCTTTTTCCGCGTAACAATATTCATTCTGATTCGACATACGCAATCCTCGCTCCAATTACAATTTACTGGGAACAACGTATGATCGTGTTGATTGAGATAACAACGTATTTAGTCATGAGAATAATTCAGGAGCGAAGCAGTAAACAGGGTTAAGTCGATTTTAACTGTTGGCCAGTTTTTGACGAATATCTCGGAATCTAAAAGAGATACAAAAATTTTTGTAATAACCTTTTTTGTAGAGCCAACTAAGGGTTACAAAAAACGTTATGAGAAAATTTTTGCTATCTCTCTTAGATTCCGAGATATTCATCAAAAATCGGCCAAAAGTAAAAATCGACTTAACCCGGTTTACCGCTTCGCTACTGAATTTTGATTTTTGAGAAAACCAACGAATTTCTGGAGTTGGCAAACTTTTGGCTAAAACGAAGTCACATACTCTCATTATTGCGACAAATAAAAGGAACTTCAATTCCAGAGAAGTTCCATTTCTCCTAATCAAATGTATCTCAAGAAGAGATAACTGGTATTCACTATGAAATCATGTTTATTTCAAAATTAACAGCCAAATGATAGTTCGTGCAAATAAAATTCTCTCCCTCACCTTTCTTGAAAACATAATTTCT